CCCTCGTTATTTTGCTCCCATATTCCAAATCTTCACCACCGACGGAAAAAGCAATCCCTGCGGGTTTGGGGTTCAAAAATTTAGCCCCATTGAGGCATGCCTGTCTGAAGAGGTGATAAATACCCAATCCAATATTTTTACCGGAACGACCCGAATTTCAATCCGGTCAAGAAAAACCTATTTGGGGAATACAATAGTTTTGCCGTTACTGTAACAACAAGGGCAATACGAATAGCGCCATCAATTTGAGAAAAATGATAGCAGCAAGGCCTTAAGTGTCTTCAGTACTGTGCGCAAAGTAGACATGTCGGACAATGGGAATCCTCATACTTTGCGGATTTCTTTGGTTTCAGCAACAGGTTGCCACAAATTTTAGATTAAAATCAGTGGGTATCAAACATAGTTTGATCTCAGTTTGTCTACTACTGGTGGGTCCTTGCGGGCGTTGAACTTCTCGATTACGTACCATTTTTTAAAATAAAAAAAAAACTTTTTCACACCTATAGATTATCGTTCTGGCAAATAATTTTCCAAAAATATTCTCTCGAGGTGGTGAATATTTAATACGAGTCAAAACTGTAGATATTTTGTCTTATCATTAACATTCAGTATTTTTATCTTAACACCTTTGTTATTAAATATTAGCACTATATTTTTTGGCATGTAATTGCTTTGGAATTTGCTACTGTCATAATTTATCAATTCAGATCAAAGGCTTGGTGCATTAAGTTTATCTTGCTTATTAATTATATTTTGTTGTCTACTGAATAGATTTATTATTCATTAACTGAACATGAACAAATGGCATGGAAAAGCTAACTCCAGCTATTTTTGACTGCGAGCAACAACAGAAAAGCCAGCATTATAACGGATTACACTAACGAACGTTAGGGAATAAAATATTCCAAATAATCTCTACGTTTTCATAAATATTTGACTCAGTGGAGCTTAAAAGCATGCAGCAGAGTTTTTGGTATCAGCAGAATGGAAGTACAAAACCGTTAGTGAGATAACGCTGAAACGAAAAGTTGTTTTCCACTTATGATAGTCACTACTTTTATATAAATATATGTATATATTTTTTTTTAATTATTATTCCAATTCAGATCAGATATCGACGTCTGTCTCTAGTGGAAAATTTTTATTTTTTCTCTTCGATTACTGATTCCTTAAGAGTAGTAAAAGCAGTGATATTTGTAAATTCAAAAATGCAAACAAATGTTTACAAAATATTGTATAAACAAATATTAAGAATATGATTTCGAAAAGGAGAAAAAAAATTAAAAATTAAATGAAAAAAAAAATATTTTGAAATTCAATGCCTTATATACATACATACATATATGTACATATATAAATAAACACTTAAGCGATTTTCGGTCGACCTCCTCCTCCTCCAATTTGTGGTTTTGCGTCTTGATGCAGGTTTATTCTCAGCCGCCTTCGAGCGGCCAATGGATTTTTATGAGGAGATTTTTATTTTATGTCAGAAGTACACTCGGGCGAGCTTGACATTCCCTGCCGAGGGCCTATCGCAATTAAAAAATTTAACTTTATTTTTTAATTAAATTAATTTTCTATAATTTTTGGACATTGGTCGTACCAGAATTCGAGCAGTGGCCTTCAGAATGGTAGTACGCAACGCTAACCACTCGGCTATTGGAGAATTATGACCTCATGCTATTATTATCTTATATTATATGTATATATATGTACTTATGTGCATATGTTTGTATTTTATGCAAAAATCTCTTCCTCATCTTCCTCATCTATTATGGTATTTCTGTTTAAAGCCAGCTGGAATATTCTCACTGTTTTTTGTTTCTAAATGATTTTCAATTGTTTTTATTTTCTAATTTTGCACACTCATTTTAATTTATGCAGCTCAGCTGTTTTGAAAATCATCTATTTATTTCTTATCTCTGCGCTGTAATTGTCTACCACATGTTTGTACATACTATGTATACACAAGTATGTATGTATAATAATAAATAACAAACGTGAGCTAAGCATTGTCCCAAAATATCAACTTAAAGCTCACATTAACATATTTATGTGCATACATACATAGCTTGGAATAATCTATTTCAAATGACTTTTTACTTTTTGTTTGTTGCTGTTGTATTTTTTTTCAATTATTCGAAAAATATATAATTATCAACAACTACATAATTTTAATTTCACACAGAGTTGCAATTTTTGCGCAACTCAGCATTTGCATACACTCATCCATATGTATAAATAATTGAGTGACAATAAACTTCAGAACGATTAATAACAATTTAAATAAAACTGATTATTTATTGTCTAATCATCATGTCCACTTTGTTGTTACTGAAAACCAATTGAAGCGTAATTCAGCATTTGTGTGTAAAAAGTCATTTGCATAATAGCAACAGAAGTTTTAAGCATACATACATATATTTATGTATGGCTATGTGTTCAGTGCGAATAAATGCAAACAGAATCACTCATGAACTCAATGAGAGGGAAAATAGCGTGAATAGAATAGAATACGTGTACTCTGATTACTTTTTTCTAGACGAAACAAACAGATTTATACATATATATATGTATATATGTATTGTATATATGTATGTATATATGTTTCCATATATTTATTTGCAAATTTCTAGCCACTACCTGATGTGCGAGCTGAATTCTACACAATAATGCAAATTTCAGAAAATAAATATGCGGAGACACACGTACATAAATTTACATATAATTCAAATTCCCTGTAGGTAAATAAGATAAAAGAGGAAATATAAAAAAAAAAAAAATTAATATAACATTTAAAAAAAACTAAATAAAAACGAAATATTTTAAAGCAAAATTCGAATAAAAGTAATATATAGAAATGAAATTATATTAAATAAAGTAAAAAAAGAATATAAACAAAAAATAATAATATAAAATGAGTTAAAAAAAATAAAATTAGAATTTAATTAAAAAACGTATATAAAATAAAATTAAAAAATATAATATAATAAACTAAAATAAAATAAAATTAAGTTAAATTAAATTGATTTAAAGCAAAGATAAAAATGAAGTAATATAAAAATCTAAAATTAAATTAAATTATATAAAATAAAGTAATTTAGATTAATACAATATTAAATTAACTGAAAGAAAATTTAAGATAATACAAATCTAATTTATACTGAACAGAATTTAAAAAAATATTATAGGAATAAAGAAAATTAATATATAACAATTAAAATAATAAAACATCAAATGAAATTAAATAAAATAAAATATATCATAAAAAGCAAATTAAATTAAAGTATTATAATAAGGTAGATAAAAAAATTAAAGAATTTAATAAAAAAAACTGAAATATTAATTTTAATTGATATAAATTAATAAAATTTAATTAAGCAAAAACGAAAATAAAATATAAAAAATAAAATAAAATTATATTAAGTAAAAAAAAATAAATTAAAATAACTTAATTTAATACATAATTATATTAAATTAAATTTAATATTCTAAGATAAAAAATAAATAAAATTAATATATAACAATTGAAATAAAAAAAAATCAAATAAAAGGAAATAAAATTAAATATACCACAAAAAGTAAGTTAAATTAAAAGAAAAATAATATAAAAAAAAAACTTATATATATGTATATATATCATGAAAGAAATGATTTGAAAAATATAAAATAATATAATAAAAAATAAAAAAAATTAAAATAAAAAATATAATTTAATCATTAAAAGATTAAATAAAATATTTAACATAAAAAATATATGAAATCACAATATAAAAAATTTAAATATCTATATAAAATAAAATAGAAAGAAATAGTTAAATTAAATAAAAAAAATATAAATAAATAACTTATTTTATTATATCAATATAGATAAATAATTTATATTATTATCACATATAATAAAAAATAATAATTTAGCAAATAAAATAAAGTAATATAAATTAATATAAAGGATAAATTAAATTACGATATAATAAAATGAAACACAATAAAATAAAATCAAATTAAATTTAATAAAAAAAATAGCAATTAAATTAAATTAAATTCTTTTAAATAAAAAAAGCTATTTTAGCAAACAATTTCGCATTGTCTACGCGAGAAATGTTCATTAATTTATCATTTTCCAGTGCTTTAACATATATTATTGCGAAAGGGCGCAACTAGAAGCAACATTAAAGTAAGTTAAATCAACAAGATTAATATAATATGTACACTGTATGATAATTTCAATATTTAAACGCTGATAAAAAAAAGGTTTAGAATTGTCCAGTGAGTACAACTTAGCATACACATACATACATGTATGTATGTATTTCAGAACAAATAAGGATTTTTTATATTAAAAGTAATTTATTTTATAATATGCTAATACCTGACGTGACTGGCAAAAAATCAAAGCGCAAAAAGCATCTCTGCAAAGATGAAACATTAAAAAAGCGAAAACGAAAATAATATAAAAAAAACAAGCTGAGCCGGCTGCCAATTATACCGGCAAGTATCTCTATGCATTCTGCTAGGTATATACATACATATATATTTGACTGTGTACTGTCTTCCACACACACACATCTGTATGTACACACATACATATATGTATCTCAATTATAGATTTTATAAACTTCTGCTATATATATATATTTTCATATGTACTTATAAATTCTTACGTATGCGCTTGTCATGTACACATACATACACACATACGACATGTTTTCATTTCTAAAGAGAAAGAGAAAACAAGAAGAAAAAACCCCACACGATAGTTTTTGTTCCTGTAAAACGGCTCAAAGTTCTAAAGAATGGCACGTGTAGCGAGAATAAAACAAACAAATAATTTTGCATTTTGTGAGCACAAAATTATTATAAAAAGTTATAAAATATTAAACTTGTGGCAGGAAGTGTGGCGGATAAGATAAAACGGCACGCAAGTGCTCAAAAAAAAAAAACAATAAAAATCGTATTTAAAATAATAAACGTAATAAAAATATAATATTTGCACTTACACCCGTGTAGAGAATCTCCGGATTGACATGTGGATCTGGCACTTGGCTCGAGAATTTGGCTATGCCACCATTCATAGCGCCGACCAGTGATTTGCCGGATGATATTAAGGCATTACTTTTCAATAAACGCAACATTATGCACCGTTACTAAACAATTTTTTTCACACAGAAACAATCTCGAACCGTTTATGTTGCACCGTAATATAGCCAATTAAAGCAATGAATTAAAAGTAGAAATGAAAAATTATTTTACTCTAAACAAATTGATTTTCTTTTGTGCTCACAGCCTCAGTAGTTAAAATTTTACTTGCGTTCGCTTGAAGGTGCTTTTGGGAACTGCTGTTCGAATTCACTAACTCTTCACTACTAATAAGCTTTTGTTTATTTATTGGCTGTTGTTGAGCGCGATGCGGTGAGTAAAAGAGGGATGATAGGCAGAATTTGTGACAAAAATGCTGATAAATGTTTGACTTTATTTTTATAAATGTATATGTAGGTGCCTGTATGTGTTAGAGACAGCTGTGTTGTGGGAACAGTTGTTGGGAAAGCTTTTGGTTTGCTCTAGCAATGAGAACAATATTTTTTTAACAACCGTTACTATTTAAATGTGTCTTTAATTGAGAGCTTGCTGTAAAAGCCTCACTGAGCTTTTAGTAATTAAGCTATAATAGAATGACTTGTTTTTATTCTTTTATGCTTGTTTTTATTATAAACGAGATATGGGAAATTTATTCTTCTTTTCAGTTATGATTTTTTAGTTTGCGTTTTTTGTAAACATCATCGTTTTTCTTTAATTAAACATCAAAAACTCCACGTAGGAAAAAATTGCAAAGATCAAGGCACATAGAAACGTACACAGAAAAATATTAATAAATACGAATAAACGAAAACACCGTTAAAATAAAGAGAATACCTCTCGAGTGCATCCAAAGCACTACAAACGAAAATAAAAGCTGGTCCACGGCATCTTAGCTTGACTAGGTTAAGTTGAAATCGCCGAAGACTTGAACACTGTTCATGTATTGAAAGGCTTACTGTCTGTCATAAATCTGCAATTGACCTAATGTCAATATTCCTTAGCTCGTCCAAGTTGATAAACGTATGGGATCCGAGAAAATTCAGCATCAGTCTTTCAAACGAAAGTTTGTAGATACTTCCATATCTTCTGCCAGTCAGCTACGACCGTGGAGATCCGACAAAAAGCCTTACCTTAAGTCAATATCAAGCGCACAATGCCCATTTAGAACTCCTAGAATCTAACTCGAGTAAGAAGAATCTCAAAGCCGACACATGCCCAGAAGCTGTGAAAGAAGTTGAAAACGAAGAAGCGTACAGAGCAACTTTTTGCGCTTTGTCCGAGATTCCTACAGGAGTAGTGACTAGCAACTACGTAATGACTCGGTATCCATGTTTTTTTCAGGGAGATCATAAGTATTCGTTCACAATTTTGAAGTTCATCAGGAGAGAGCTCAGGGTCATAATAGCCAATTAGTAAACTGAGAAGGTGTTAATCAGTTTCACAAAAAACATCTTTCGAAGCAGTGTGTCTGCAAATTCATTGAAAATTATTGAAATCATATGGAAGATCTGGATCTGCCTGAACCCCCTACCGAGGTTAAATCTCGACAGGAGGTTCCCTTGCTGTCGATCTATCAGAAAATAAGTTAAGGGCTCCTTTCTTCTAGTGTCTTTATCACTTCTAATCCTCACATCTAAAGGTTATGATGGAGAAGGAGACACCCGGGACAGAACGGAGATACAGTACTTAAAAATAATCACAACTTTAATTTTTCAGTGAATTTAGCAAGAAAATAAGAAAGAGAATCGAACTGGCAGTTTGAGGAAATTCAGCAAAGCTTCTACTTACGCTTGACAAGTGGTTTGCTTAGGAACTCTATGCGTGGAATCCACATCGAATATTCCATACGTGTACATATACATACACGTATATACAATAGCGTATACTAGTATTTACATTATTAATATAATTAACGCTTATAGCGGTTAAAGCGAATTTAGGCCGAGCTCCTCCTTCTCCAATTTTTTTTTTCAAGACATACAGTTTGCACTAAGCCGCCTCGGAAAGGTTGAGGAGTTATTATGAAAAGCCTTCATTTCACGTCAGTAATACACTCGATACTCACCGCCGAAGGGGCGAACGCAGTTAGAAAAATTAAATTTTCTGTAATTTTCGAAGTTGGTCGCACTAGGACTCGAACCCAGGCTTTCTCAAAGGGAATGCTCATTGCTAACCGCTCGGCTATTGCGGCCGGTATGTACATACTTATATAAAATCAATTAACTTAATAATTGCTGAATAATGAACTTTCAACTAAAAAGGCAAACGAGAAAAATTTATAAAAATTTTACATATTTTTGTAGTGAAACAATTTTTCATTTTTTCAGGTTGGCGTAACCGATTTTTTCACTAAGCAAATTATTAATTCTAAAAACATATTTTTCATTACGAGAGCTTAGTTACTCCTCTTTTTTCTACAAAACCCAATTGGTATACCCAAGAAGCCTGGTCTAGAAAACTATTGAATTCGATATAAAGAAATCGATATACAAAAAATCGATATACAAAAAATCGATATACAAAAAATCGATATACAAAAAATCGATATGCAAAAAATATTAAAACATTTTTAGACAACAACCTTTCCTGCTGGCTCATCATGATCACGTTTATTTATTTTTAAATATTAATTCCACTACACTTTGCAAATAATCGCTGATGTGTAAAGTAGACTCGTAGGAGAAGCCATATGGGGCTTTTGAAAAATAATTTATCAAAAACCATTTATCTACAAGTAGTGTAAATATGTATGAATGTATTATTAAAACAATTAATTTTTTATTATCTAATCAAAATGTGAATTTTCATGCAACAATCCAGTATGGGCGCGCATCAAACTGTTTTCGCTATTAAAATCAGTGCCGCGCATTTCACTGCACTGCCAAACGCAGGCGGAGTCAAAAGTATTTTTTAAAGTTCTAAAAACTATTGTAAACATGTCTGCAATCAAACTTGAAATGCGACCATTAACACCGGCACTCCAACAGAAGGCGTGCGATGAGTTAAACGAGGTGCCCGAGCGTTTAGCCGCGGATATCTCAACGCTCAGGGCTTGGCTGCGCCAACAACCACACTTGAGCGCACGCCAAAGTGATCAGTTTCTGTTGAATTTCCTGCGCGGCTGTAAATTCAGTTTGGAGAAGGCGAAACGCAAGCTGGATCAGTATTACACATTGCGTACGACGCTGCCCGATTTGAATCAACACGGTTTCGTGGATGATCAGCGTTTACGCGCCATCATACGTTTGGGGTAATATACATATATTTGGCAATATCGACTGGAAGAGAGAGCGCATAATTTATTATTTTTTATTTTTTTTTTCTTTCAATTAAGTGTCACGCTTTATTTGCCACTGCCACTGCTGGAAGATGGCCCATGCATTATGTTAATGCGTCCGGGTAAATACGATCCCAAAGCCTTCAATATGACAGATTTATTACGCGTAAGCTTTCTGCTTCAGGACATTTATCTTATCAGCAATGACAATCTAATTATTGGTGGTTTTATGCAAATTGGCGACTTTGAAGGCTTCTCCATGGCGCATTTGCTACAGATGAGCCCGTCGCTTATGAAACGCTTCAGCTTGTACGTCGAAGAAGGTATGCCGATGCGTATTAAAAACTCGCATTTCTTCAATACGGGTGCGATCTTTGAGAAGCTCTTTGCCACTGTCAAACTGCTGCTGCCTGCAAAGATGGTCGAGAGGGTGAGTTGAAGGGAAAAATATATAAGTATCATATAAAGAATCGTTTTCAGTGTGAAGGTGATACAGTGCGAAATATCTCTTAATTTTAATATGTATTTCAAAAACTTTCAAAACTTTTTTTTTTTCAAATTATCATTCAATCAATAATTTTTTAAGATTTTCATTTAATTTTTTAATTTTTAAATTTTTAAGATTTCAATTGTTTTTATTGTATTAAAATTTTAAAAGTATCTAAAATTTTTTTTTAAAGTTTCAAATAACTTTTTAAGTTTTCATTTTTTTTTTAATTTTCAAACAATATTTTAAATTTTCAAAATTTCCCAAATAATTTAAAATTTCCACCTTTTTTAATTTTCAAATTTTTTTTTCGAAATTTTAAAATCTTTATAAGCCTTTTTCTTAATTTTAAAAAATTTCGAAAAACTGAAATTTTAAAAAGTTAAACAATAATTTAAAAAATTAAGTTTTTCGAAAAATTAGGAAATTTTAACTTTATCTCAATAATTGGCAAAAGAATTTAGAAACCTTCTGGCTGAATTCGACAACAATAGCTGAATTATTTTCCAAGTTATTGGATCTTTATTGGTGTCATTATATTCAGTAAACATCTATATTATGAAATTTTTCAGAATTATTCCGACGTTGAGCCATATTATGGATTTCGGAATATTTGGCTGCTGTGAGCCTAAATTGAGCACAAACTTTTGTTTTATTGATCAGTGGTCACAAAGAAAAAATTTTAACATTTTTATACTGAAATCGTTTTTTTTTGTTTTAATTTAAAAAATGTTAGAAAAAAATTAAAACCTTCAACTCTCCATCTACAGTTTCAGGTACACAACACATTCGATTCCCTTTGCGCAGCTGTGCCGAAAAAGTATTTACCAAAGGATTATGGCGGTGAAAATGGCAGCATTGAGGAAACTATCGCCAAAACCGAACAACTAGTTTTGGAATATCGTGAATATTTATTAGATGAAAAGAATTATGGAGTAGATGAGAAGTGTCGCATTGGTGGTCCAAATAATTTGGAGACAGAATATGGTTTGGATGGTTCGTTTAGAAAGCTAAATGTGGATTGAAAGAAATCGAGACTTAATGTTTCAAAAAAATGTTGATATTATTGTGGAACTGTTGTAATATTTACTAAATTAATAATAAATTTTTCTTATACCGGAAACCAATTAAAAATGTTAAATAGTAGGGGAAATAGTGTGTAAGAGTATTTAAATGATGATTTTGTGCATCTAACGACCTAACTTCAAATACTTTTTTCTTCTTAATTTTTTATAAACCAATCCTTATCCGGAATCATATTTGATGTGTAAACATGTGTTTACTGATGCCCACTGTATTATGTATATATGTATGTACTCTTATCAGGCAGACAATAATTTTATCAGTTGTTAGCATTGCTTTATTTGAACTGATATTTAATTTAGTTGTTTTCCACCCTGCCCTTCGTAATGAGTCAACAAATTATTGTTTTATTGATTAATTCGATGTTAGAATACTTGCATATATACATACATAAATAACATTTTTGGGTAAGTTTTTTTTATCAACCATTTAATGAGAATTGTAATCTGTAAAAATCTTCATGACTTTTGAATTTCTTCGTAAAAGCTCGAAAGATATTATATTACTATAGAGTGGTGTTTATAAAAAAAATTTAGATTAGATCTTCATAATTAGCTGTGACTTGTAACGGTAAAAGTTATTAGTAACATTGCAAAATAATAGAGAAAGTACTACCATGCCACTCAATATTCTGCTTTTTTAATTATTTTATCCTATTGTAAAAATATATGAGGTGTACAACTTTGCTTCCGCCGTTTTTTTTCCTAAATTAAAAGCTTTATTGCGAAAAATTGCTTACAGATATGTTATTCAAAGTATTGTCCTTCGCTAGCGACAACTTTCTCCCATATTTCCGGCAATTTTCGGATCCCGGCTCGAAAAAAAGAGTCCATTTCTGACGCTATCCATGAAGCAATCCATTTTTCCAATTCCTCGAAGCATTGAAAATGTTGATCTGCCAGGCCGTGTGCCATCGAACGGAATATTTGGAAGTCAGAAGAGGCGACATCTGGGGAATACGGCGGGTGGGGCAAGACTTCCCATTTCAGCGTTTCCAGGTACTTTTTGACCACTTTTGCGACGTGAGGCCGAGCATTGTCGTGTTGGAGGATGACTTTGTCATGTCGCTCTTGATATTGTGGCCGCTTTTCTTTTAGCGCGCGACTAAGGCGCATCAGTTGCGTTCGGTAGCGATCTCCTGTGATGGTTTCACCCGGTTTTAAGAGCTCGTAGTAAATCACACCGAGCTGATCCCACCAAATACAAATCATAACCTTGGCGCCGTGAATATTCGTTGAAACCACTCCCGACACGTTCTTTCACTCAGAGCAGCATCACCGTAAGTTTCTGAGAGCATTCGATGCGCTTCAGCTGCATTTTTTTTTCGAATTGTAACAGAAAAGTAAAACTTCCCGCAAATGGCGAGAATTAGGCACATAAACGGACATTTTCGAGCGTGAATAATACGAAAACAAGAACAACTGTCACTGAAACGGCGATGACAATTCGTTAGGCACTGTCCACACTCACTTTAAAGGCATTATCATCTATGTATTTCAACCAGCCTCAGCCGGTACAGCCACCTATCGGAAAACGGCGGAAGCAAAGTTGTACACCTGATATATAAATAAAATATAAAATTGAACCTACCTACATATACTATAATGACCTCACAGAGACTTACATTAATTATAGCTAAAATTTCAAGAGTTTCATAGAACTTTAATGGCATTAAATTGTTTATTTTAATTTCGATGTTTCCAAGTTGTTTTCGAAAAATCAGAATATCAAGAAATTCAATTTCAAAAGATTATACAAGGCAAATTTACACACAGTAGTAGCAAAAATACGAAAACAAAAAGCCTATGTATTTTGTTTGTGTAAACGTAGTTTCGAAATGTCAAAAACGAAACTCGTTCAATGTAATTTGTTGGTGTAATAAAAAGTTCGTAATGTCCAAACCTATTTCTCATGTATTTTTTTGTGTGTAATTTGTTGAATTGGAAGGAAGAACCAGCAATCATATGATGTGACAACTTCAACTTTAGTTGTGTATTTAATTCAAAATTAATTTTATGGAATTGACGAAAGCTTAGTATGCAATGATCACAGTTAATACCTATCAGTAATCGCACCACGCTTCAACTTTTACACCGAAGCATTTGAGAAGTAATTTACATAATTCGTCCTGTGGTTGCGTTGAGTCGTTCTCGTTACGTTTCTGCTTTGTAGAGCACATGATTATTTTCTAAATATCGATTAATATTTCGTTTAGACGAAATATCTTGCATCAGAGAACATATATTAAAGAGAAAAGCGTGCCGATTGCCATATGTGCCATCTACGGGATTGCTAAGAGAATCTATACGAAATTAGTAAAAGCGAACTACCAGATATTGAAAAATTATTTACAGAAGAATGATATTTGGAAGACAATTATTTTATTAATTTATTATTATCTGGCTCAGAAATGTTGACAAACAGAGCCAATTTTGGCGGCAGTGGTGAAATAGTCACTTATTTCTTCCGTCGATTCTGGCAGTTCACATGCTGTCAGCAATCGGTCCTTCTCTTTGATATACGTTCTCTGCCTTTATCATGTCATCAAACCGGCTAATCGAAGAAAATAATCGATAAATATTAGTTACTCGATTAAACGTGCCATCACTATATAAGCAGTGATAAATCAAATCTTGCATAGCAAATAACTTGAAAAAGAAATAATAAAAATGATATCTTTTCAAACTAAGCGAATTAGAGTTAATTATCAAAGCAACTAATTTTTAGTAAGAAAAATAAACTTTTTATTTAATACAACCTTTGAGCAGTGGCTAATAAAAGCTTTGTCATTAATGCCTTTGCTCAGATTTGAATTGGTCATATTTTTATGATCTTAAGAATTGATTATTGATAAAGTTTAACACACGATAACAGAAAGAGAAACAAAAGTATAAAATAAGTACGAAAATTGATGACGTCATAAGCGGAAAAAACATGCATATATACAAGTATGGCTGATAACGTTGAAAATTTTGGAAAAAGTGAAACCAAAACATGAACAATTTTTTCTTGGAAATAGCAGCAAAAAAGGGACTACAAAAAATTAAAACAAATAAAAAAGGTACAATAATAAAAAGTTTGTAAAAACTATAGAACCGAAAAACAAAAATAATAAAAAAGTAAATATATACAATTTAAAGAAGTAAATTTAAAAAATTAAAAAATAAATTGAATCAAAAAATAAATTAAAACAAAAATAATAAAAAAGTAAACATAAAAATTTAAAGAAGTAAATTTAAAAAATTTAAAAATTTATTGAATCAATAGAGAAATTAAAACAATAAATTTTAAGCAAATCAAAAAAATTGTCTATAGTAAAAAAATCTGAAAAAATTATTCTTTATTATAAATAAAATAAAAAAATGTAAAAAAGCCAAAAGAATTATAAAAAGAATCTAAAAAATTATAAAAGTAAATCTAAAATAATGAAAACATCTTAAAAATAATTAGGAAATTAAAAAAAAATATAATTAATTAAACAGCAAATTAATTAAAACAAGTAAGAATAACAAAAAAAAACAAAAAAGCAATGATAATAAATCAAAAAAAGCTTAAAAATAATGTAATATTAAAACAAATTAAATGCTAAATGATAATTATATCAATTGAATAATCAGAAAAAATTATATTGAAAATTTCAAGTGAAAAAAATTAAATCTTGAAATTAATAAGAAATTCAATGAAAAATAAAAAAATAATTACAAAAGTTTAAAACAAGTAAAAAATAAAAACGTGCTAAGAAAATATCCATAGTAAATCTAAAAAAAACTAAAAATTCTTAAAACGAATAGGAAATTAAAAGAAAATTTCAATATAATTAAGTCAATTTAAACATATCAAAATATAAAATATAAATATAAAAATATAATAAAAAGTTTAAACAAATAATAAATAAATATAAAACATAATAGGAAAACTTAAATAAAATTTAAAAATCAATTAAAATAATACTAAGAACAAGTCAATAAAGTGGATAATTAATCTAAGAAATAATAAAAGTTTTAATAATAATAAATAAATAAATAAAAATTACTTAAATTAAATACTTTACATAACACTAATCACTTTAAAGGTGGACCGTTATCAGCGCGTAGCGCTTAAAAATATTGTTCGGTGGGTCAAACAATGTTTATGGAGAAAAAACAAGGTTTATTAAGATATTAAAAATGCGAATCCATTGTAAAGTTAAGTGTATAATGAGAGAAGGAAGTAAAATACTAAAACAATTTTATTATTTATAATCTCTCCAGTATAAGTGCTTTTGGTTAACATTTCGGAAAATTCTACGCCTCACACATATATTTTTTAAACAAAAATATATACATATTTTTTTTTTGATAATTTAAATGTTAAGGATGACCCGTTGAAGCTATGACGATTGTCTTAACCCTCTTTCTATAAATTTTAAACCTTACAGATGTGATTGAGTAAGGAAAAATTTTTTTTTATTTTTTTTTTTAGATGTTATTTTTAATATTTTTGGGCTTGGTTTTTCTCTTCATTTTATTTTCATTATTCTTGTTTCGGTCTAAAAACACTGTACTCACTGGATAAGAACTTACGCTAGCAACACTGTGCTTTATTTTATCTGTCATTCAATTAGTATCATACATGGGAAGTACAATTTATTAACACCACTCAGTTGCACACCTAACACAGTCGCTGACAGTTGGGCACAATAGTATTGAATAATATCACGAGTGCATTTCTTTTTTAAGTACAAAATTGCTACTAGTTAAAGTGCAACTCGGTGCGTGTGAAATTGAAAGTACAAAAGGCGATTGTAGTGTAAGTTTAAACTATAGATTGTGATGTAAAAGCGAATGCAAATTATTATATAAATAAAAAAATAATGTAATGAAATATGAAAGTAAAAAAAAGTATTATATAATACAAAATTAAATAAAGCTGAGAAACAATAGTTAATGCGAAATGGA